GCAAATACATTCAGTGCTTGAGATAAGACTGGGGTTTTCTAAAGCATCTCATTTATGGGAGCAATAGCAATGAGTTTTCATTCAAAAGTGTGAGTGCTGAGTGCAGAGAGTGAGGGCACCCACTTAGTCTTTCTCTTTTCAAGCTCCGGAAGTGTTGATGTTACTGTGTTCCAGGTTAGGTCTTGCCAGACCTTTGTATGTCACATAGTCCTGGCGACTCTTACGCAGGACAAAATTAAGCCTGGAGACTGTACAGGAAGGGCAGCTAGTGAGATTAGGGGAATGGAGAGCCTGCTGTGCAAAAGGAGACAAAGATTACTAATTTACCAAACGAGGCTCAGAAGAGAGCTAATTCCAGCCTAAAAAAAAAAAACATCGCAGAGAGAAAAAGAACTGTTTAAGCTCAAGAAAAGAACTGGTGGTCTGCATTGTGCATGCACATTCAGGCTGGAAAGCGGAAGGTTTTCTAACAGAGGGCTGAGTTTCTATTTCCGGTATGAGAGGAAAGAAGCTAACTGCAGCGGGGTTTTTAAAACACAGTGGATCTTGATCAGTCTACCGCGTAGTTGCGTGCAGCACCAGAGACTGTGTTTCTTGGAAATAAATCAGCTCCATTGCAAGGATCAGGGATAATTATTTGAACACTGTGGAACTATATCTTACATTATGGAACAGGTTCTTCTCCCAGCTATGCTGAACACTGAACAAATTTAGGGAAATCAATTGTCCTGTTGTGCCAGTGTTTCACCAAAGTGTGAAAAAAATGACCTTCCAGTTAACTTTTTCAATCCCAAACAGTCTCTCTGAACTCACTGTATTTATTTACAGAATATTTTTTTCAAAATACTTAAATGCATGGTAAACTACATCACCGTAACTTTACAGTGCATAAAGCTATGTGTACAGGCAAGCTGGTGGGCCTGATGTTATATACGTAAATATTTAATAGTGGATATTTAACAGCAAACACATAAAATATGTAGTGGAATGAGCTTTTTGCTCATTTTTGCTATCCCTTTTCTTACCTTTTGTAGACACCTCATTCTTTTTATTCAATGCTCTATTTAGCTCCTGTGTTTTGCTGAAGGCTAATTTTTCAAAACTTCTCATAAAAACATTTTCTTAGACTGACTTTGGCTTCTCATAGTTTTCCAAGGTATGTTTGGCATACTACTTCTCCTCCCTTTCATTTGGACTTTGTTTTTTCTCTTTCTGTATTTGCTATTTCTGTCTTTCCATGCCGGTAGCCTCTTTTCATTTCAGTAGCTGGAAAAAAGTACAGGATAAGGGACATCTCACCAAGGTAAGTTAGGTCTAAGTGCTGGAAGATGTCCCTCTTCATCTTGATGGAACACCCCTTTTCCAATACTTTTTCTTTCTAAATAATTTTTTTCCTTCCCATCTCTATTGTGAAAATTCTTACTTCTGTTCCACCATTATATATCCATTTTAGAGAATATTTCTTAGTCTTTGTTTCTCTTTGTGGCCATTACTCTAGTCCTCATGGCTCTGTGTACAGCCTGAATACAATTTTTGCTAGTATATGTTGCAGAGGTTGCCCGTATGAATACAACGAATGTGTGTTGCCTGCTACAGAATCTCAGTGCTGTAGATTTCTAGCAAAGAAGTTATGTGAATAATGGTGTCACTTCAGTGTTTAAATATGGGGAATATGGTTTCAAATATAGTACCATGTCCAATAAAGGTTGTGTTATGTAGGGACAAACTCCCAGTTATTAATCACTTACAGCTTATCAACTTACAGACACTTCATTTAGGCGCTCTGCTTTGAAGGCGCTTTGCTTTCTCATCTTACTGAGAAATAATTTTTTTGAAGAGATTTAGATGTTTTAATGTTATTTTGTAGTTATGATACATCAAAACTACATGAGTATAGCTAAGTGTGCATGCCCAGCATAATGGTTAAATTATGACAGCATGCTGGAGAAAAGGGCTGAGACAGGCCATTTTCTTCTGGGATTAGGATGGGTGTTGATTTTCAGTGGACCTAGGGCAGCACAAACTATAATTATACAACATGTAATACAGGGATGAATAGGGCTTTTGGTTTACTCTGAATGTGTAAACTGCTACAGACATTGTGCTGCCACTGCAAAAATAATTAATATTTTGAAAGCAAATATGAAGACACTCCAGGCTGGCAGTTGTTTAATAACGGTGTTAGAAGTGTAACGCAGCCCCCTTGCGGCCGTTTACGTTCGGAGCCGCGATGGGTTCTCGGTACAGAGCGAGGTTTATTACTGAACGTGGGCAGCAAAGGTTACCAGTTAAAGTCCCATTTCTTCTATTTGAGGTTAAATTTGTTTCCATTTACAAGATAAGCGGTTTTTTTTGGGGGGGGGAAGGACTTGCAAGTTCAAGCCTGTACTAAAAAGAGAAAGGTACGACCTAAATTTTACCTACTCCTAACATGGCCGATTTGGAGAAAATTTTTCCTAACTTCTTATCCTCCACGCTAAACGTTTGTAATATCTTCCTACTAGTCTGGCAACGAAGCGAGAATTACTTTATTCTGCATTTTGCTGTCTGCCTTTTCTCTGCCAGAGAAGTATGTTTGGTGGGAACGTTCAGGAGCCTGACGCTTCCTCGAAGGTAAGATTCATCCTTGTGCAGAAAGCCATTTGTATCCCTGCATCCTTTAGATCCAGTTTGAGAGCCAAAAGCAGGGCTTGTGAGGGACTTGAAAGCTGTTTAGTCTTTTGCTGACCTATGTCCGACTATGAATTTTACTCCAGATATTTACTCTGTTTGGTGGGTACTCCAGCAATTTTATTTCTTGATAAGATTGCCATTATCAGAGTGCTCCAGATATATTGTATTCAACTTTCTTAATCTCCGATTTTCAAAACATCTGGTATTTCTAAGAAGCTGTCTGGCTTATGCTCCCTGCTGACACAGGGGAAAGGAAACGGAAGTGGGGAAAGCTCACAAACTTCTTAAACGCTTCGTTACACATAACGGCAGCCTTCGCTCGGCCGGTCCCACGCCTCCTCCCGAACAGCCTGCACCACAAAAACACCCTTTTGTGCTCTGAGCAGCTTCTGGTCTTGACCGGGACCGGGAC